AGTGTGACGTGCGGTTGAGCCGGAGGGTATTTATTCTATTTATTCTCTGTCTTGGAGTTGGGCTTTGGTTCTCTATGTTCAAGGCTGCTCAGTAGCTGTTTCTCTCGGTGTGCATTCTTCCCAGGTCAAGGTGTGTGCTTTCATATACAATCTTGCTTCTGATCTGTGTCTGGCCATTGTTTTTCTGGATTCTTTGTTTTATAGAAGTGTGTCTATAATGGAACCAGCATCCTAAAGTCAACATGATAAACCTTCTACTCTGACATCATATGTTCTTCAAGTTTGGTTACCAGGAAATGTCCAAGTCTGTCCACAACAGATTTTAGACATCAAGTCTGTCAGGCAGTGCTCTCAAGCTGCAAAATGCCTAGGAGTTTAAAGGGATTTTCTTCTCAGCTTCAGACTCAGCCCAGTCTCCAGTCTGAGCCCATCCCTGCCCTGTATCTACCTATCCTAGTTTGTTTGTTTTTTTGAGACAGGGTTTCTCTTTGTAGCTTTGAAGCCTGTCCTAGAACTTGCTCTGTAACCGGGTTGGCCTTGAACTCACAGATATCCTACCTGCTTCTGCCTCTCAAGTGCTGGGATTAAAGGCGTGAGCCACCACTGCATGGCTCGTTTGTGTTTTGAGAAAGGGTCTCAGGTCAGCAAGCTCCAGGGGTCTGTTGTCTCAGCCTGTGCAGTGCTGGGATTGTATGAGTGCCCCGTGCCTGGCTTTTCTTTTAAACACCATCTGGAGATTGCTTCTTAGCAGATCTTCATGTTTGTAAGGCAAGCACTTGATTAACTTAGTTTTCCCCCAACTCCAGATATTTAAATATCAATTTGCTGTAATTAAGCCCTGTGGAACACACCCACAGTCAGTACTTGGGAGGTGGAGGGAGGAGATTCATGAATTCTGGCGTCATTCTTGGTTACATAGTTTGTGATTAACCTGAGCTACCTGAGACCCAAACCCCCAGTTGCTGAAATTAAAATCCGGATCCTTAGTCACATTGTCTATATTTTGTGTGTCAGTAGCCACATAGGGCTTGTGGGTACCGTGTCACCAGGCAGGTATAGAAAGTTCCTTTGGATGGTGCTGACACTCAAAATCAATAATTCCATCCTTCTGATTTTAGAGTTTTCTGATAACATCCAATGAGTGTCCTTCTATGCTCATTTTCTCCCTGACAAAGGTTTGCTTGACTCATCCTAGAATTAGTTGTATTCTGTAAGTACACCCCAAATAAAGGAAAGAGGCTGGATGAGGCTAAAGGGGGGGGAGGTTTATTGTATTAAATGTGATTCAGATAAAATGATAGTCTGATGGAGAAAATACACGATTAATACTGAAGAGGCATCATAGATTCTCAGCCTTTTAGAGTTGAAAAGGATCTTTGATTGCATGTAATCAAACCTCTTATTTAACTGATGAGAACTCTGAAGCACAGAAAGGTTAATTTATGTCCCACAGCTTGATAATGACTTAGTTACTCTATATTCAAGCTAATGGCTTTTTCACAGGGTCAAGCAGACTTTCCCAGTAAGTTCCCATACTGTAGTTACAAGACTCCTCTGCTTTGGAGGTGAGAGGAGCCAGTTATGTTGCCTAGGCTTATAGTAAGAAAAGGAAGTTCCCCTTTAGAAGCACAGCTTGCTGAACTTTCATTATATATATATATATATATATATATATATATATGTATATATATATATATCTTTGGTAAAAAGAATTCTGCTACGTTTTAATAGGTGCTTTTAACTTTGACTTTGAAATTATAGAGTTTATTTAAAAATAGGAGACAAAAGGTTTGGGAGTGTAGCCTAGTGGTGGATTTACAGATGAGGGTACTCTCTCTTGCACTCTCTCTCTCTCTCTCTCTCTTGCACTCTCTCTCTCTCTCTGAAAAGGAAATATGCTTCCTCTAAAAATAGCTCTTTTTTTGTGAGTTGGAGGTGAGAGTTTGTTAGGAAGATGATTTATTTTTTAAGATATCCTGTTACCAACTAGGCATGGCCAACATGCTTGTAAACCTAACGTTTGGTGCAGAGAGGTCAGAAGATCAGCAGTTCAATGCCAGACTTGGCTACATAGAGAACATGAGGCCCATCTGGATTCTATGAAATCCTGTGTTAAAAGTAACAACAAACAAAAGCTTAAGCAAAATATCTTCATGCAAGTGAGTTCTTGTGACTCCAGTGTGTGTGTGTGTGTGTGTGTGTGTGTGTGTGTGTGTGTGTGTATGTGCGTGTCTTTTATTTTTGTTTCTGTGGAGACATGGGGTGGAATCCAGAGCATCCCATATGCTAAGGAACACTTAAGCAGTAAGCTAATCTCCAGCCTAAAATACCCCACCTTAATTTTGCTAAGCTTAATGGATCAGTCAGTTGTCACCAGTAAGACTCGACCTCCCATCCCTTTTAGAGTAAAATCGACTTTTAAATAGGAGAGTAAATAGAAATTTCTGTGAAGTAGTGTGCCATTCTTGTATTTAATGGGTTTCCCCCAGAACGATCTATTTCCACGGGCGACATTAGTGGCTAAGAACTGGCTGCATAGTGATTTATTCTAGTCTCAGTGGCTACATGCTGTGAAAAGGTTGTATTTTTTTAGGATTATTTCTACTTTGTTCTGCTGATTATGCCTTTCAAATGTTTCTTGAGCTTGTCCGCTGCTTTAGTTTTAGCCTTAGCCATTGCCTGCACTTTCTTGTTTTTATTCTGCCCCTCTGTTAGTCAGCTTTCCATTGCTGTGACAAAATGCTTGGGGAAAACAAACAAACAAAACAGAAGGGAATTTCATTCTGGCTCATAGCTTCATGGCGTGTGGTGAGAAAGTGGAGGCCCAAGGTTGTCAGAGGTCACACTCAATCCTTCTCCACCTCATTCAGTGAGTCATGGTCTCTCGGATAAACCCAGAGAGCTCTGTAATGAGGCTCATCTTGCCAGCTGGCTTGCTCTGGAGTCCCCTTTCTCCACCTTCTGTGGCTGGGATTATGTGCATGCTGCCATGCCCACCCTGCATTTATCATGGTCCTGGGTATCTGAACTCCAGTCTTCATGCTTGCATAGCAAATGGTTTAGCAACTGATCCGTCTCCCCAGCCTTTGATTTAACTTTTTCCTTTCTTTTTTGTTTCGTCACTGCTGTTGACTCTTACTCCTTGGTCACGTATCCTTATGTTTGCTTCATAAACATGAGCCTCTGTGCTTAGAGAATATTGGATGAAAAAAGATAATCCAGTTGTTTGGAGATGCCTTATATCTTTGACTGTCATCCTTGCTTATTCATGAGCAAGATGCCCAGATTACTGTTTAATGAACTACTTAAGGTGTTCTTATACTTTCTAGTCTAGAGCAAGCATTTTCCTCCTTTGTATTTTAATTACAATAAATTAAATTACAAAACATGTAATTTAATAGCCTGGGCTCTTTCCCAACAACGTTTGCTATGTTTTGATGCAACAGGTGGATAAATAAATATGCAGGGATTTGCTTTCAGAGCTGGGTGTCTGGCACTTTGCAGCCTCTTCCTGGTGATCCGAGCTGTTTCAGCCTTCCTTGCCATTGCACAAAAGATTCCCACTCCCCTCTCTTCTAGAGTCACTCCCCTTTCATTGTCAAGACTCACATTCTTTTATGAACCTAACTGCTTTCTAGGAAAGAAAACTTAGTAATACTAGAGGTAAGTGTATGTGGATGTGGAGTGTGTGTGTGTGTGTGTGTGTGTGTGTGTGTTAAAGAGGTGATAATCTTGGAGCACTTACCAACATGTGAGCTATACATTATTCTACTGCTAGGCATACTTGTACAATATTCTTTCTTTTTTGGTCTAGTTTTGCCTTTTTGCTGACTTTAGTTTTTATCTACATGTGTAATATACAAATTATACATATAATTAAAAATTATATATAGTACAATATGTAAGTACATATAAGTTAAAAAAATTTAGAGAGGGCACATGTGTCCCATGCTCCCCTTGAATTTGCTGTGAAGCCAAGGATGACCTTGAGTTTCTGATCCTTCTACTTTCCCTCATAAGTGCTGAGTGCTGGGGTTCCACGTGTGCACCATCACCTTTGGCTTATATGGTATTGGAGGTCAAGCCTGTAGCTTCATGCACTCTAGGCAAGCACTCTCCCAGCATCCTTAGCCCCAAATGAATAAAGATTTAAAAATGCAGCAGACTGGTGATGGTGCACAGCTTTGATCCCAGTATCCCGAGGCATAAACAGGTGGATCTCTGAGTTCCAGGCCAGCCTGGCCTATGTTCCAGGCCAGCCAGCAGTACACAGAGAAAAAACAAAACCAACCAACCAAACAAACATTTAAAAAGACTCCCTGGCCGTGCTATCTACCAGAGATGAGTGCTCCTGGTATCTCATGGGTTCTGCCATTATTGAACTATGTTGTAGGATTCTATGGGACCTGCCTGTAATTTTACCTCTTCCTCTTCCCAGACATAACAGAATGCAAGTGAGGAATGGCAGAGCTATTGTATGATGGCGGAAATTCTTACCCATTTCTAGTTTGTCAAAATAAGCAAACCAATGTGCCAAGGCTTATATAACTGTTCTTAGTACCAATTCACTGTGAGACAGAATGACTTCTTACAGAGCCAGGGATGCATGTGGGACACTGAGGCTGAGGTGGGTTTGCAAGGTCACCAACTCAAGGGACAGATGGCACGAGAGCCGTCTGATGTCAGCATGGTGGATTGGTACTTAGACTGTACTTGTTGGTGAAAAATGTGTCCATGTTAGTGGTGCTAATGACCTCTAGAAAATAGCTAGTTTTGCTGTGCTGTGACCTTTACTATTGACGCTGTGTAGAGATGAGATGTGCTGCCATTTGGCCTAATTCCTGGTATTTCCAGTTGGCAACTGCACCACCCTGCTTCTGAGATGTGACGATGAGTTGGTGGCCACTCTGCTAGGGTTCTGTTACCTTAGGAGTGCTGAATGAGTTAATTTGATGTATCTGATTAAAGTGCTCTGATCTTTTGTTTTTGGTTGTCCTTAGATAACTTGCTACAGGATGAACTAAGGGAAGAGGACACATCCTCGTCAGCATGGACAGACACTTGCCAGTTTCCAAGATGCAAAACTCATCCTCACCATTGGAAAAGCAAACCGGCCCAGCAAATGGAAATGGGGATCTTGATTCAGGTAGGATTCTGCTTATTGATTTTTCTGAAAATTTGGCTCATTGAACATTATTTTCTTGAGATGCTCCAGAACAATGGGGACACATTTCTAGAGCTCATCTACCACCAGTTCTTGGCATTTGCTGTCCTAGCCAAGCTATATGTCTACAGATACAGCAGCTTTCAAGTTACGAAGATTTTTGGGTCAATATTAATGTTGACCATACAGAGTGGGCTAGGTTACAAGGTGATGACACAGTACTTCTAAGTCTTGGTGCCTTATGCTCGTAAATGTCGATAAATATCTGTGCTGTCCCAACGGTTGTCATGGTGCTCTCATACTTAGTGACTGCACCATCCCTCAGCAGGGTAGTTTTAATGGGAAAAGAAGAGATGGGGGATAAGACATCACTGACAGACCCTCCAAAGTATGGAGCATGGCTTTGGAAACTGTGTAGTGTGAAAGAAATTTAGGTCATGTGCATTCGTGTGATGTAATTAGATAAAACAAAGCAAAAGCCGGGCGTTGGTGGCACACGCCTTTAATCCCAGTACTCGGGAGGCAGAGGCAGGCGAATCTCTGTGAGTTCGAGACCAGCCTGGACTACCAAGCGAGTTCCAGGACAGCCTCCAAAGCCACAGAGAAACACTGTCTCGAAAAACCAAAAAAAAAAAAAAAAAACAAAACAAAAAAAAAACAAAGCAAAAAAGAATAAACAAAAAACCAGATTGTGTTTGATTGGATTTTAATATTTAATGAATTTATAAGTACATCTCTAAAAATATTTATGCAATGGTTTATTTTAAAAGGATAGTTTTTTCTGAAAATAGAATTGCATGGTTTATATATTAGCAAATTAAATAAGGGCAAGAGAGCCATATGAATCATTAATATTTGCTACAGTGAATTCATACAAAACGTTGCCCATTATCTTAGGGGGGAGAGTTGACCATTGTCTAATGAAATTACCAAGTTTGTCTTCACTTTAAAATAACGGAGTGCACGTGTGTGTTTGTGTGTGTGTGTTTACTCATTTGCCGTGGTGCATATGTGAATGTAAGGGTCAGGCTGCAACTTGGAGGAGTGAGGTCTCTCCCAGCATGTCGTTAGTGGGGTTTAAACTTGGGAGCCAGCATCTTTACCTGCTGAGTCATCTTGCTGGCCCCATTTTCGTGTTTTGAGCAAACTCGTCAATGATGGAATCAAAATTTGCTTGATACCATTGAGTTTATTAGACTGGGTTTCTCCATTCTCTCTTTCTCTGCAAAGCTGTAGAAAGGGAATATCTAATAGGATAAAGGTATGTAGTGTGTGCTTCAGCATCAGGTCACTATAGAAGAGAAAGAAACTTCTATAGCCACAGCTGGCACCTTGCCTCCCTGCAGAAAAATGGAAATGCCTTTCTGAGCGGTCCTCACCCTGCAAGGCTGAAGGTTCATACTAACTGCTCTTTTGTTGAACTGTAGACTTGCATCCTCCCTCTCCCCTCCCCCGCCGTGTGCAAGCATGCCCATGAGGTTGACCTCATGTGTCTTTTCAAAGTGCTTTCCACCTTATTTATCTGCTTTGATTATTAATAATAGTTCAGGCAGAAGTTTGTGGGTCATGTGTGGTGGTCAGAGGGCAACTTTCATACTCACGTTATCAGACTTCTGCACTGGACCTGGGGGCTGAGGTGGGTCTGCTGGTTTTGCTTGATGGGCTAGCCTGCAAGGCTCAGGGATCTTCCTTCTCTCTCTGCCTCCCCAGCATTAGAATTGCACCACTCTACTCGGCTCTTATGTGGGTGCTGGGGATACGAACCCAGGTCCTCAGCAAGCATCTCACTGACTGGGGTATCTCTCCAGCCCCAACTGCATTTTCTTTTAATGATACTGGAGACTGAACCAATGGCTTTGAGTATTCTAGGCAGGCACTCTGGTACCACCTCCGTGTCCCCCTGCCACCCCCAGTCTTTTTTATGTCTGCTCAGTAATCTTGCACTTTGGAAGTTCCCGGGCATTTCCTGTATTTTAATAGTGCATCCTCTGCACGCATCACTGTCTGTGGCTGTGTCGTTTGCAATGATAAGTTTTCATTTTCACACAGCTGCCATATTTCTCTCCAGCATTAAGTAGAATCTGAAGCTCATTACTGATAATATACTGTCAGGAAATTATTTTTACTGACAGAATGCTATCAGAGACTGGGGGATTCCAGGTTGAAAACCCATGGTAGATACTCATTCATGATTTGTTCTTCACTCTTGTGTAGTGGATGGTTTAAATCATACAAGACGTTCTGATCTTTAATACTAAGGTTGCTAAATAATTCTAAGTTATGCTCATATTTTTCAGCTTCTGATCCACAGTCATTCCCCACGGTGCTAAGGGCTTATGTGTCCCTGTTTCTTAGTATTTCTGTATGTTTGTGATAAGGAGGCTTTGATAGTGCTACAATTTCTACAGATTAAATTAAAATTCTTACTTGTGAGTTTCATACAGGAGTACAATGTATTTTCATCATACCCACCCCATTTTCTGCCTCCGTTCCTTCTGTGTTTCCTTATTGCCTTTTAAATTTATGTCTTCTTTATCCATAATTATTGTTGATATGCCTATGTACCCTGTTGAGTGTTATTAGTGTTGTCCATATATCCTTGAGTGTAGCTGAGCACTTGGCATGGGCAAACTATCAGGGGGCTTTTCCCAGGAAAAAAAGTCAGACTCGCTCTTGGTAGACATCCACTGCCTGTAGCTCTTTAATTATGGGTGGGGTCTATGTGCCCTTCCCCCACCCATATTGGAATGTTAGATGGTGTGGTTTTGTGTGGGTAAGCATATTGTCAGGAGTTCATGGGTGCAAAGAGAGTCTAAAATTTTATAGACAATACTGACTGGCTTTATTCTCAATCACATGTAGTTTTGAGCATTAAAACCATAATAACATGGTCAAGTCTGATTCTTCAGGTCAGTATTTTTTCAACTTGTTGAAACATGAAATACCTTCCTTTTTAGAGTCATTTATGAAGACGTCTGGTTGTGCAGCTCACTGGGACATGCTTAAGGATGCTCAGAACCAGTTGAGCTTTCTGTATGTACAAAATAAGGCATGCTTGACATACTTCAGTGGGTTCTGAATGGACTTGTGAATTGGGACAATAGGCACATAAGTACAGTTTCTGTTCATAAATGCATTACTTTAGAGGCCTTCACATGTAAGTTGACTTAATCTTCAGTGCCCGGTAAAGTGACTGTTTTTCAGGTCTCATCTGGCAGATGAGGAAACTGGACAGCAAGGTGAAGTTGTGTGGTTGGTGTGTTGGAAGCAGGATTTAGTCTCAGGTCCTGGGGATCGTGCACTGAAATCACCAAGAATCGTGCCCTCCTCCTCCTCCCTACAACATGCAGATTCCTTTTTCTTCCTTTTGCCTGTCCTTTCTCCCTCTGTTACACGACACATGATGGCATCTCCTCAGCAAGTGACAACACTATGAAACAGAAGGGAGGGAGGGAGGGAGGGAGGGAGGGAGGGAGGGAGGGAGGGAGGGAGGGAGGGAGGGAAGGAAGGAGGGACGGACGGAGGGACGGACAGAGGGATGGAGGGAGGCAGGCATGTGACTGTGTAGGCGTGTCTGTAGCTCTCCACTGAGAAAACTGTCCTGTCTGATGATCAAGCGACAGAGAACTTGTCTGGTGGCTTCAGGGCTTTTCCTTTACCACTTAGTTCTGTCCGCTCTGTGCTCTGTCCTCTCTGTCCACTCTGTCTACTCTGTGCCTCTGGCTGATTTAACTCCTTGCAGTGATGAGTCTTCCATGAGATCCGTCCCATCTGAGATTGGACTGAACAGTTTTTTCTCTTTCACCTTTTGCTTCTCCTAAGGAAATCTTCGATCTTAGCTGAGATCAATAACTCAAATGTTAAGCCTGTTCTTGAAATAAGATGAAAGGACACCCCTTCCAGAAACAAAGAGAGTGTGTGCCTGAAGTAAGGACAGATAAATATCCAAGGAACCCCAGGTCTCCCCAGCAGATAGAGCACCCCAGCAGCACCCTGAGTTACACAGCAATGAATCCCATTGAAATTCGATGGCTGGACTTCTGGGTGTCTTCAGTCAGAATAAAAGCAAGCAGAACGATGTGGGGATGCCATGATAAGCAGGTTCCGTGACATGGTTTGCGCAGGCCTGCTCAATGTACTTTCCCAGAGGAGCCTGTGGTATTGTTCATGCAGCCATGGCCAGCCTCTGAGGAAAAAGAAGGAAGCAGAACTCGTGGAGTGAGTTTTCCAAATTATAAAAATTTAACAGGGCAGGAGAGGTACGTCAGGCAGTGGAGTCCTTGACTTTAGAGCAGGAGGACCCGAGGTCAAGCCCCAGAACCCGTGTGAAAAAAGCCAGTGTGCTTATCACCAGTGCAGGTGCTGGGGAGGCAGTTGGAGGTCCCGCAGACTTGCTGACCGCTACACTATCCTAACTGGTGAGAGACCCCGTCTTGAAAACAAGGTGGATGGCTCCTGACGTATGGCAGTTGACATTGACCTCTGGCCTCTGCATGTGCACAGTCATAGGCATACTCACATAGATGAACACACTGGCACATGTGCACACACAAACAATGTCTATGTGTGCTAAATATAGTCCTCTCCATATACATTGTCCTTGTGTTAAGAGACAGGGCTAGTTACGTGATTGTCCTTCACTTGCTTGAACTTAAGAGTTCTCCTGCCTCAGCCACCCTAGTGCCATGCCTGGCTCTCACTGGGCATAAATCAAAGAAGCAGGCTTCTTTTATTTGGGAGAACATGAGTCAACACTTAGAAAAATTCAGGGCTTTCCCTTCATCCCGAGAACTGTTTCTCATGGGTCAATAATAACATCCCCCACATTCCCTCTTCGAACTTCAGGCTGCAATTGTCTGTTCAGTCAGATGCATGGTGGACTGGCAGCGGCAGGTCCTGTGAGTTACTTAGACTGCTGCTCACAGTTGTGCTGTTTCCTCTCCTGGCAATAGGAGGAGCTACCAACATCTAGAGGTGTTTCAGTCTCTGCTTCCTTTCTCTTTCTGCATTTCAAAAGTTACCTAGCATGTGAGAGGTTGTCTTCTGGGAGATTGTGTCTGTGCAGAATCTGCCCGTTCGCAGATTGTATTGTGGCAGTTACAGACTTTAATATCCAGCCCTGGGAAGCCAGGCTCCCTTCAGATTGTAAAGTGAGCTGATTCCAGATTTATTATGAAAAAGATGGATGGGGCGCTTGTTTATTATATTTTTATTCTAAAGTCACTTGTGTTCCAGCTTTTCATAAGACATTCTCGTTATGTTTATTCTGGAATATTTTGGTCCACAGATAGGCTTCCTTTAAAAAACCAAAATGAGACTCGACGGCTGTTTAATGAATGTGCCTGTTTTCTTTGTAAGGTGTGAAATGTTCCTAGTAGCTTTTCATAGTGGGTTTTCATGACATCATGGGGAAATGTCTCCCACTAGTTCATTTATGGTGGTGGGGGCTGTCAGAGTCTCTTTGGCAAAATGTTTGTGGTTTTAAGAGGTTTATGGATCAGCTGTAAATATTTTCTCTGGCTTTATGAGATCTCTCATAAACATTGCGTGTGTTTGCCTATTGCTCAATGGGCGTGCCTTTAGAGAATCTACTGTTTGGGGACACAGGCCTGAGGAAGGGGTGTATGCGACAGATTTTAACAGGTTGTGCTATGAGTAAACCTAAGTTTTGTATACAGCTTTATTGCTCCAACAGCATGGCTAGCGTTTCCAGTGCCGAACATACAGTTTTTGTGTTATTTAATCTCATTTTGGACCTGATGCTTGGTTTACTTTTCTGAAGTGTTTTTTGTTTGCTTCAATGAAAGACTGAATTCTCTATTTGCTTCTGTGTGTCTTAGATGCTCCAAGTCCTGTATCTTTCTTGCTTAGGTTGGGGCTCAGGACCTAGAAACTATTTTGAGAGGCATGACTCTGTTCTCTTGTGTGTTTGATTTCAAGTATCTTTATTGGCATGTACTCAGGAGCAACTGTAAGGAACTTATAATTAGAAGGCAATATTTAAGATCATTACCTTCCAGGAACTGCTTTTAGATGGGCCTGGTAGTGCGGGAATATGCCATTCCAGCTTCTTGGGATGCTAAGGCAGGAGGATCACAGACTTAAGGCTTGTTTGGGCTACAGGGAGAGTCTTAAAACTTTTCTTAAGAAACAATATTAGCATTTTCTGATTATAAAATAAATATAATTTTCTATTCATTTCTTGGACTATGCAGAGTATAACAAGACAATTCTTTTTCTTTCTGATAATAGAAAAAATTGTTAGTAGAAAAAAGGCACCATAGCTGCTACAGGAAGCCTTTGTTTCGGCAAAGCTCCTGGTCCCAATCCCTCTGGCCCTCCGGTGTGCATATACCACTTCAACGAGGACCGCATGCCCGAGATGGCACTTCCTCTCTGCCAGTGGAATCAGCTCCTGGTTGTGAAAGATATGTAGTTTGAAGGTCAGCACCCTTTGAGCATTTTTGTAAGACAAGAGAAGTGGAATATTTGAAGTGCTCCTTCTAGGTGGCCACGCAGTCCTCGCTACCGTATATTCTGTACAACAGCCTTACAATGTGTGGAAATCATGCACAGCCGCGTATTAGCTACTTTTTCTTGTTGCTGTGGGTGGAAAGACTTGCCTTTGGCTCACGGTCTGACTGTATGATCGGTCATGGTGACAGGCACATTCACTCAGGAAGCGGAGAGAGGTGGATGCTGGTCCTCGGCTCCCTTTCGCCTTTTTATCCAGGCCCAGGCCCCAGTTCATAAATGGTGCCAAACACATTTAGGGTGAGGAGCCCCTCTTCAGGTAACCCAATCTGGAAACTCCTTCACAGACACCCAGAGCTTTGCCTCCTAAGTGATTCCAGTTACAGTTCAAGCCAACAATGATATTCACTGTCACAGGCTGCTTAGCTGTAACCATTCTAGCAAGACATTTATGCTTTCATTGTCTTAAAGTGTATTATTTGATGCTTCTTGGTTACATAATGATTTGGCAATTGCTTTTCAGATCCCAGGTGTGCAAAACTGTGTCAATTTAGAATACTTATGACTCCCTCTCTCTCTCTCTCTCTCTCTCTCTCTCTCTCTCTCTCTCTCTCTCTCTCTCTCTCTCTCTCTCTATGAATGTACTTTAGGAAGTCAGAAAACAGCTTGCAGGAGCCTGTTCTTTCCTTTCCTCACATGATTTCCAGGGGTTGAACTCTGGTCTCCATCTTTGGCAGCAGCATCTTTACATACTAAGCTGTCTTGTCCACCCCAAAGAAGAGTTACTTACTGTCTTGATGACCATTGTATGCTTTTGGTTGTTGCTGTCCTCTCCTGTGTGACTTGAGAAACCGTATCCTGTTGACTTCTGTTGGTGTGAGAGTCCCTGAGTACTCTTGTGTTGCAGGAGATGGGGTCCTGCCTGGGGATAGGCATGTCAGCACAGATGACTGGAGGTGTCAGGCAGCTGGTTTGTTCTGTTGATAACTTGCTGGGTAACCTCAGGTTCCTCAAGTGATCCTTCTGCACATCTACTTGCTTGTTTATGTGCGCGCATGCGTATCTGGCTGTTATCCCATGCGCAGGAGTGTTTGTGGAGGCCAGAGAAGGTGGTGGATCTCCTGGAGCTGGAATTACAGGTGGTTGTGAGCTGCCTGATATGGGTGCTGGGGAACCAGACTCAGGTTCTCTGCAAGAGCAGCAAGTACTCGTAACCACTGAGCCCTCTTTCCAGTCCAATTTATTTCTCTTAAAATGTTACTGAGGTCACAGTTCTATAAAAATCTTTATTTTCCAGTCTCTAGCCTTAGTGGGTAGGTAGTTTGGTGCCTGTGTCTATCCTGGCACATACCTTGGGCTTGAAGCGTCCCTTTCCATTTCTTTCAATCTTCACAAACTGGGCTGTCTTCCATGGCTAACGTTAGGCTAATCCATGTTAACTTTAAGACAACTCTTATTCATTTGACTTGAAAGCACAAATGTCGCTTTTAGTTTTGACAGGGTATCAAAGTGTTGTCTCTTCTTGTCTATCTGTCTCTGTTTCTATCTCTCTGTATTTCTGTCTCTGTCACTGTCTTTTTCTGTAAGCCTGACATCAATGTTGGCTATCTTCCTTAATCATTCTGTCTGTCTGTCTGTCTGTCTGTCTGTCTGTCTGTCTGCCTGCCTGCCTGCCTGCCTGCCTGCCTACCTAGCAGACTCTGTCATTGAATCTGGAGCTCACTGATTAGCTAGACTGGACAGATAGTGAGCCCCAGGGATTCCCTTGTCTCTGTCTCCGTTTGATTACATATATTTGTGTGTTACCCAGCATGGCTTTTTATGTGGGTTCTAGGTATCTGAACTCAGGTCCTCATCCTTGGACAGCAAGCAATTTACCAAAGGGGCTGTCCCCCCTTTCCCTTTTTAAACTCAGTATTTCTACAACAGCAAACCGAATCTCTTCAGAGAGTCTAGCCATATCTTTAAAGGCACTGAGTCAGTTTGTGTCTCCCAGGCATGCTTTGCCCTAGTTTGATATTCTTGCCTTGTTTTGTTTCCACAGAGGAAGGTTCCGGCCTGGAGGAAGACGGTTTTAGCTGGGGAGACTATTTGGAAGAAACAGGCACCAGGGCGGCGCCACACTCATCCTTCAGGCATGTACGTTAAGCACTGAGCAGCTCTTCTGGTCTGTGGGAGGGAAGGGGATCTGTTGGGTGAGTCAGGAACCAGTCAGAAGAGAAGAATGAAAAGAGAAGTGGAAATGCAGCTAAGATTGTATAGGAAGAAGGCGACACGGGGAAGTTTGGTTTTCACAGATAGCTGCATATGAAATAGGCCACAACTGGCTTCTCATCAAAAGCCACCGAGTTAGGCAAGATGTTACATTAATGTCTTCTTGGTCAATGTAATGACTGTATATTTTTCATAAGGAGGTGATATTTGGGACTGGGGACTTGGCTCAGTAGATAGAATGTTTTCCTAATTGCACGAAACCCCTCAGCATGGCCTAAAATCAGGTGTTGTGGTGCATCTGTGTAATTCCAGCAGTGGGAAGGTGGAGGCAGGAGGATTAGCAGTTCAATTGCAGGCTATGTAAGGAATCTCAAGGCTGGCCTGAACTACATGAGATTTTTTTTAAAAGGCTGATAGTGTAATTTCGAAAAGTCACATTAGAGTTTTCTAGTCTTCAGAGTGAAGATAAATTGGGTGAGAGGAATCAAGACAGATATTCTGAAAACGTATACCTCACAAAGGTTGTCCTCCTTAATAATATCTGCTTGTATAGTGCTCCTAGCATGTCCACCAGGGAACAAAGCTCAGGAAGAAAGAGCATGAGTTCTTGCCAGAGTTTTCCTAGGTGTGAGCTCTTGCTTCTATAGCACTAGCACAGAAAAGATGGTATTCCCCAAACCCAAGCTCTTATATGTGACTATTGTTTTAGCAAATAAAATGTTACTTCTGAGACATCTGTTTTCTCATCAAGCTGCTCCAGCAGCAACTCAACCTTCTTAACTTTCTTTTTGGCTCCTCAGCTTAAATAAGAAAGCCACAATAAGTTCTACTCAGAAGTGAAGTGTTCTTCTGAAAGATAACTTAAGACCTTATTAAATTTGTAAGATTGCACCCCTCTTTTCTTCTCTCTCCTCATCAAGCTGTGGTTTATTCTGACCATGGTTATGGTATGTAGTGAAACCAGGAGCTCTATTTTCAAGTACAGCAAAAGCAATGCCTCTCTTTGGCTTACACAACTAAGATCATGACCCTGCAGAAGCCAGGCTGGCAAGATCCTGGGATGACCTGGCAATTTTCTTCAGGCAGTTTTGGAAAGAAAGACGATCAACAACTTTCCCCTTTTCTGTACAGTGAAATCATGTCACCTCCATTCTCTGATTCATCACTTCTCTCATGTCCTTTTTGGTTGAAGCAGATGCCACCAAATGGTGAAGGCTTGGATGGACATGCAGTCATCTTTCAGGATATCTGTATTCCTGAAGGGTGATGCAGCCATCTACCCTTCCAGATGTTGACTAGCCCTAGGCCTGAGTGAAAGATTCACAGGAAAAGTAGTCTCAGTTTCACAGATAACTAATTTATGGTTCCATTGCTTTCTTTAAGGTCGCCCTTAGGGTGGACCTCACATCCATGGCTTTAGAATGTTGAGAACTCCAGGCTGGAAAGCTTTCTTTATTGTTATTTTTCATCCTGGTGGCAGTTCCTGGCACACAGAAAAATTGGATTACATGGAAGAGTTTGTAGCTACAATTGAGACGTGCTGTTCATTGAACTCAATCTTGGAAGCCTTTGTTCAAAAACACTAGCCCTTACTTTTTTTTTAAATACAGGATCCCTTGTAGCTTAGCCTAGTCTCAAACTTAGCATGTAGCCAAGAATGACCTTGAACTTCTGATCCTTCTGTCTCTACCTGCTGGCCTCCCACCCTTTCTAATGATGCTGTGCTGAGGATCAAAATCAGGACTTCCTGCATCCTTGACAAACATCCTATCAACTGAGCCGCGTTTTCATCCCTCATTTACTTTCTCTCCCCCTTGGTGTTTTTGAGACCGGGTCTGTTTGTATATTCAGGTTGACCTAAATTTAGGATATTTGTGCCTTGATCTCCAGACTGCTGAGATGATGGGTGTGCACCACCATTCTTGGCTTATTTACTTTTTATAGTATTAGTTTCATATTGAAGTGACAAACTGTTGGATTTTACGGGTGAAATAAAACTCACAAAAACCCAATCCATTTTATCTTTCCTTTAAATGTGGTTTCCAGAAGACTTAGCCTTGCATTGGAAGTTTGTGTTCCATTTGTCTAAAATTGTGCCTATGTTAGGGCAACAGAAGTACTGTTTTAAAATGCTCTCTGCTTAAGTAGTTCTCAAATGCATTTGAGGCACATGGCTAGTGTGATCTCGGTTCGCTTGTGTTTCTCATGTTTCAAGGTGGAGATCAGCATCCAGAGTAACTTCCAGCCGGGAATGAAGTTGGAGGTGGCCAATAAGAACAATCCAGACACTTACTGGGTGGCCACGATCATCACCACCTGTGGACAGCTGCTGCTTCTGCGTTACTGTGGTTATGGGGAGGACCGAAGGGCAGACTTCTGGTGTGACGTGATCATAGCAGATCTGCACCCCGTGGGGTGGTGCACACAGAACAACAAGGTGTTGATGCCCCCGGATGGTGAGCTCACATATCAAAGGCTTTGATATCACTCTTCTTGATGCCTGTCTTTGCAGAAGGGACAGAGAGAACCTTCTAGAAAACCCTGAGTGGGTTTAGTGCAAAGGTTTTTCAGTTCTTTAAAATGTCTGGGGCTTTCTTATCTAGGGGATGCTGTAGGGTAGGTAGTGGTGGGTTTTGTTTACTAGAAATACTATTGATCTTCAGCCATTTGGGTCACACAGGAGGAAAAGAGGTTCAATACTAATTCTCAGGTTGTATTTGGATGTTAGGAGAGGAGTTAAACTGGATGTTAAGGGGAGAGAGAGAGAGAGAGAGAGAGAGAGAGAGAGAGAGAGAGAGAGAGAGAGAGAGAGAGAGAGAGAGAGAGAGAGAGAGAGAGAGAGAGAGAGAGAGAGAGACCCTGGGGATTAGATGTATTGCTTTTACTTTTCTGCCAGTTTAGATAATTGATATTTTCAACAGACTTCTTTTTTAATTAATTAATTTTTAACTGTGTGTGTTTGTATAGCTGTGTGCATGTGAGTGAGTTTAGGAGCCTAGAAAAGGGCATTGGATCCTTTGGAACTGGAGCTACAGGTGATTTTTTTGGGTTTTGAGCTACCTGATTTGGGTGCTGGGACCTGAACTTGCATCCTTTACTATAGTAGTACATGATCCTAACCATTGAGCTACTTCTCCAGCGCCCTTACACAGGCTTCTTCCTTAGGTTTGCTTTCTTTTCTCTTCCCCTCCCTTGCTTTTGACAAGGTCTTACCTAGCCCACATTGATGACCTTGCCTCTCATCCTCCTGCCTCTACTTTTCCAGTGCTAGGATTACAGCATTTGCCACTATTGTCCCATTTATATAGTGCTGGGGATTGAACCAAGGGCTTTCTGCATTCATGGCAAACACTCTACCAACTGAGCCACATCACTACCCCTGAACTTAGTTTTTGACCTTTCTTACTGCAGGGAGACTGAGGTTATGAAGCAGGCAGAAAGCTAAACTGATGAGAATTGACATCACTCAAAGAAGTAGTCCACACTCATGTAGACATGAGATCAGTTCAGTTGCCTCAAAGCAATGGTTCTTTACTGGAGCAGGTTTTCCCCCAGGAGACATCTGGCAGTGTCTAATGGGAGGGAGATGCTACCAACACTTACTGAGACCAAGCCAGAGACACCCCTGAGCCTCCTCCAATGCATGGGACATCTCCACAATGAAATATTCTCAGGTTCAACCTTCCTGAAGTGCTGAAGGTGAGGGCTTCTGCTTGAGAAGAAGGCATTGAAGAAGTTCCTATGGGTCTGTGAGAACTGAGTCCAACCAAGTATTTGACTCTGATCTCTGGTATATTGTATGACATAGCATCAGTAGTACCCAACAGCTTTGCTATTGTCTCCCAAGGGTATTGTTTGATCCCTGTACCCAGATGGCTGTTCTTCCTTTGGAGTAATCTCTTTCCATCTTCCTTTCCCTCCCTCTCTCCCCTCTCCCTGTCTTTTCCCTTCCTTCTCTCTTCTCCCCTTCTCTTTCTCTATCTCTCTCTTCTCTTCCCTCTCCTCTCTCCTTTGCTTCTCCTACACGGCTGGTATGATTTTCTGCCTGGGAAGAATGGTTTGTGGCTTTTATTTAGTCCCTTTCTTATGCATAATTGATGGCTTGCAAAAGAGGGGTCATAAAATCCTGAAACTCAAGAGTTGCTTTTCTGTGACATTGGCAGGGTTGAATCCATTGCCTTGACCTCAGCTGACACCATGACCCCTTATTGTCTCAGAAGAAAGAGAGAGGGCATCCTTTTTGTTCTGGCCTATGCCTGGACCTACTTGCCTCCTTCCTCCGACTCTTCTCCCACCGGTCCCCGGTGCTCACAAACAAGGCTATTGGGACCTTAATGTTGCTCTCATCTCAATTATGTGTGTGTTTAATATAACTTAATTGATTAATTAATGTTGCAAGGACTTTGAGAATGCTAAGCAAACACTCTACCACTGAGCTGTGCCCTGAGCCCTGCATAATTTTAGAACGTAACTCATGTTTCATAAAAGCCATCCCTCTAAGTTCAGTGATTTTTTTTACCATATATTATCAAAGTCTTACTATAACCCGTAGTCGACTTTTAAAAAATCACATTTTAAAATTTTATTTGTGTGTATGTGTGTGTGTATACAAGAGCACACATGTGTATGTGTGTGGAGGTCAGAGGACAACATGCAGGAATCATTTCTCTCCTATGTTGGTCCTAGGTTTGGCAGCAGACACCTTTATCCACTGGGGCATTTTGCCTTCCTCTCCCCAGCCTGGTGGTTGCACTTCACAATAGCTGCTTCCGTGACCCCCTATAGAATTCTGGAGTTCTGTAATGTTTGCGCTCTAAATGCTTCTGGGTTCTTTTGGGATGGTCCCTGCTGTCCCTGGGGAGACGAGGCACAGTCGATTCATCAGCTCTCCTTTCTTACTTGGAAGAAAAATACAGCAGTTGTCAAAGTCTCAGGAACACCATCAAATTTGCATCCTGTAGACTCTGTGCTATTAGCCAAGACAAAGACGCCCTTAAAATGACAAGATGAAAATGAAAAATGAAAAAACCCTAGAAAAAAGGTGACCATTAATGTGATGGAAAGATAGAAGTCTTTTCAAACAATAGTGAGTGATGTTACCTGGAGGATTTCTTTAGTGCTGTCTTGTAAAGAACTTAAAAAAATTTACTAGGTAATCAATATGACTTGGGAATCTTTAGCTCAGAGGACAAAGTCAGGAAATAGCAGGTTCATGGGGCAAGAGGTTTTATTGATTTCTGTGGGGAGGGATAATTATTGCTTCATAACCAGAGACAGTGGTTGTTCTACAGGGACTAGGCGGATCTGTGTTTTGAATGGGGATTTTATTGTATGGTTTTCTTAGTGAGTTAATGCTACAAATACTGCACCTGTGTCTGGATGATCTTTATCTTTGTTGTGGTTGAATTTAAAAGCACTGCAAAATATGAAATAGCAATTCGGGACCTTAGTGTTTCTGTCTGAGAAGCTCCATGGTGATGAGAGGCTTGTACATGTGCTTGAGGTGTGTGTGTGTGTGTGTGTGTGTGTGTGTGTGTGTGTGTGTAGACCAAAGGACAAGCTTGACTGTCTTTCTTCAGGTCTGTCTACTTTGCTGTTTTTTATTAGACAAGGTGTCTAATTGTTTAATTGATCTTGAGCTCTCTTGTTAGGCAAGGCTGACTGTCCAGGGAGCCCTGGGGAACTGTCTCACTAGTCCTGGGATTACAAGCTGGGTTCTGGAGATCTGGCTTATTGTGCTGAGCTTGTGAAGCAAGAACTTCACTGAGTGAGCTATCACAGCAGTCCAGCTGAGGCTTCTTACAGACTTCCAGGAATCAAAAGTAAAGAAAGAGACGCTGCGGTGGACTAGAGATCTGAGTGTTTAGGAGCTCACCATTTACTTAGTTCCATGGTTGAGTCCCCCAACCTTCTCCATCTTCCAAGTAAGGACTTCTGTATTGTAATCCCAGTGAGCTATCTGGTCCAACCTTCCTGCTTTTGTGATTCAGCTTAAAGGAGAAAAGTAGGACAGTGTGACTGCTTACCTTTCTATTTTATGAAGGAGGTAGGGAGTTCTTTTAGGATTAGGATTATGCATGCCAGTTTAAAAATCCATGAAAAGCACAGGAACAAAATGCTGGTTTCCTTGTTGAACCATGGCATATATTTATATTCTAGTTTTATTTCTGTTACTGTGATGAAATATCCTAACAAAAGCAACTTGCAGAAGAGAGGGCTTACTTGGTGCACAATTCCAGGCTACATCCATTATGATGGAGAAGTCAAGGCAGGAACTAAAAGCATCACATCCAAGCACGAGCCACGAGCAAATGAGCGCATCCTTGCCTACTTCCAGTACTCTTACACAGTCCAGGGGCCATCAAGTGAAACGTGCCATTTACATTCAGTGTGGGTCTTCTTACTTCAGATAATACCAGGACAGTCCCCCACAGACTTGTTTACAGACCAACCTGATCTGCACAATTCCCCAACCAACTCTCACCTTAGGTGATTCTAGATCTGGCAAGTTAGCAGTTAAAACTAACAACCATGACATATCTAGGATAGAATATGCTTGTGAATCAATAATTAGAGATGTTAGTTCCCCTTTTCAATCAAGATAACTAACAGTCCCCTAATGAGTGGCCAGGGAAGAAACAGTAGTTGTCAGCTAGGAGTCTGTGGGTTTTTGCCTACTGTTCAGTGGGAGGAGAAAAAGGAGGTCCCTTCTCAGGCTGAAGTAGCTGAGTTCAGGATATTTGGATTATCTAAAGCTGTCTCTGCATCAAAAAAAGAGTAATTCTATTGATCCATTGTTTGATACAGGGTTTTTATGGGGTGCTAGTGACTGAACCTGGGGCTTTGTGCATGCTGAATAAGCACTGTACCAACGAAGCTACATCCCCAAATCCAGATGCTATGATTTTAGATGCCAGTTTGATGGAGCACCTAGTTACAGTACTATGTTTTCCTGTTGCATGATTTTGACTTTAGCTTTGAATGAATGTAGGCCTTCATAAATATGTTAAATGTTGGGAAGGAAAATGAGCAGGGCGGAATTCCCAGTCTGTGTCATTGTGATGTGATTCCCATCAGCAGTCAGAGAACTCCATTAACAAGGACATGCTCAAAGACAACTGGGTTCAGTGGCCAGTTGGCTGTTGAGAGTGCAGTGTTCCTGCTCCAGGGCTAACCAGTGCTAATCTTTCATATTAAAAGTATTAAGAGATGTACTACATTAAAGCCTCACTAAGTGCAACCAGGGATTAGAGCTCCTATTAGCAGAGCAAAATGGAAAGTGTTTTGGCTTAGTAAATCAATAAGGCTTGATTTATTCATAAGTGTGCACCACGCTCGCAAAGGGCAGCTGCCAAATAATTATTGTTTATGGTGATAATGTAGGGAAGTCATTTAATCCAATGACTGTTTTCATTGTTATGTATTCAGAAGTTGCAACATTACCTCCTAATGTCAG